GAATTATGTGAAAATTTGTAAAAAAAACGCAAATATTATAGTTAAATCAGTAAAAATAAATTTCATACGCATAATCACATAAAAACCTATATAATATTTTATAATTTTATCAAGCATCAGCTATAGATCCATGATTGATAAATGTACTACCAGTGATGTCATTGGTTTCTTTCTCATAGAGATCTATACTCGCCAAACCTTAATCACTCGTAGATCTTAATAGTAAATATATTATTATTATTTTTAACCTATACAAATTTTCGTTTGATACTTTTTTTTAATATTAAGTACAAATACCGTCATAGGTAGAAGATTTTGATTTTTTAATAATATTCTATAACTATGTTGACAAAATAAATATGCTTATACACGAAAAACCCTAGAGCCGCCATTTGCTTTTTCCGATCTCCTTTTTCCGACGGCGAATAGTTTTTCGCCTTACGGTGGCTCTCACCGCCGTCGAAAAAAGGACTCTCTTGTCTTTTTGAATCTTTGTCTTATTTTTCGGCTTCAGATCTGGTGTTTCTAGGTGGTTCTCCGTGATGGGGTTTTAGTTCAACTTCACCATGGTGCTCGGTGGTGGTGCTCCTCCTCTGATTTCATTATATATTCGGGTTATGGCTCCTCCTCTATAGCTTTTCGAGGGTTGTGGCTAATGGGGGAGCCTTGTGCTCGTCTCGGGTTCGATGGATGTTGGAGATCTACGACTCTTGGAGAGTCGGTGACGACGCTTCTCCTGGGCTCTGGGCTCGTGTTGGGTTATGGTTCTTCCTTTCTAGCTGCTTGAGGCCGTGGCTAGTGGTTGGGTTTGTGGCTGATTCGTGTCTAAAGACGGGTGGTGTTGCATTCTGTCGTCCATGCCTCGTCGTGTTTCTTCGGGTGTTGAGCATGGTTCGAGTCCCTTCGAGTAGGAGTAGCTGATTCTGGTCTATGGTTTAAGGTTTGCCTTAGATCTATTCCCTAATGCTCTTCCTCTTTGACTTCTGTGGCAACCCGTCCCTTTTTTTTTTTTTAAAAACATTAGGTTCGAATTAGCATTCNCATAAATGCTAACCCTCAATAACCCAATCAAACTATCCCATCAAACCAGCAGAAATCAATAAGCAGATAAACCAATAAACCATTCAATAAGTCTCATACTTTACTGAACTAAACATCTCAATTCCAGAATTAAACACATTTCCATAAAATTCCAACATCAACAACCTAACAATGTT